ATACTAGTTCTATATATTAAACAAAAAGTTCCCAATAATTCATACAGTTAGACAGCAAAGAGGAATTGGGATAAAATTACTAGGGAGACAGCTGCAAGGGATTAGCTTCTTTCCAAGATGTACATACCTTGTCAAACACATCCCTGACATTGGCTTCAGATTCACCAAACCACATAGTAAGGAGTTCTGGGCCCTTGATGGAAATGAAGTTGGCCTGGCACTCATTGGCAATAGCCTTGGCCAGGAGGGTCTTACCTAAAAAAGAAAGAATTGGGTGTTTACACATTGGGTTATAACTTCATGCTCTTCATTAATTCACATACTGTACAAAACTTTTCAAACGAGTCTAGGAAAGCTGAACATCTCAATCAACTGAAATAATGATGGTATTACTATGACGACTCTGATTACTTTATCAACTAATATATAGTAGTATGATGTGTAATATATATTTTACAAAACTAGAAAATCTCTGAAATAAAATACATACCACAACCAGGAGGGCCATAGAAGAGCACACCCTTGCTGGGGGTCATGCCGAACTTGAGGAATTTATCCGGATGCTCTACAGGGTACTGCACCAGTTCCTACAGGTAGAACATTTATGATAAATAAACTTGTTTTGTACTACTCAATCACATACACAAGAACTTCTTACCATATATTACGTAATCATTTTGTAAAAGACCAAACCAAATTTATGAATCTATTGAAGGGGGATTGTTGTGGAAATCATAACTACCTGCAACCACTAAAACAGAAGTACACCTTTCTTTTTTACTAGATAGCCAACCTACCTGCAACTCTCTCTTGACATTTTCGAGACCACCAATATCGTTCCAAGTGGTGTTGGGCACTTCCACCACTGTCTCACGCAGAGCTGACGGTGTGCTCTTGCCCATAGCAAACCTGAAGTTGTCCATAGACACAGCCAGAGAATTCAATACCTGGAACACAAAGTTAAAAGGCAATGTTGAAACAAACGATTGATAACTAAAGATAGTATAAATAAATATAAACATTCTTTTTTACCTGCCATCTTAAACAGGAAAATACCTTTCCTTTTTTTAAATAGATTTGCATCAACCTACCTCAGCATCAATCTGGTCATCATCTAGATCTATGAGGTCCATCTTTTCTCTGATTTGCTGGAGAGCAGCCTCTGAGCACAGGGCTGCCAAATCAGCACCAACGTGACCATGGGTCTCTGCTGCAATCTGTTCCAGATCCACATCATCTGACAGCTTCATGTTCTTTGTGTGGATGCGCAAAATCTCCAGACGACCTGTACGGCAGGAGGAAAATGATGAAATGATATTATAGCTTTAAAACAAACTAGAGGTTTGAGGAAGTAGTGCATTTTTTTTTTTTTTAATACAATTAAATATATATTCAGAGAGATGGTAATAGTGAATAAAGTAAAGGTATTGTTCAAACACACAAATTCATCTGTCATACTCTATTAAAAGTTAATAAGAGGGAAAAAGTGTGAGAAAAAGATAATGGGCACCATACCTGTAGTGTCTGGGATACTGATGTCAACCTCCCTGTCAAAGCGTCCGAATCGCCTGAGTGCCGGGTCGATGGAGTTGGGGCGGTTTGTGGCAGCCATCACAATGACATGGGCTCGTTGCTTGAGGCCATCCATGAGAGTTAGCAGCTGTGACACTATACGTCTTTCCACCTCACCGTGTGTCTGAATGAAAAAATCTTGTTAACTAAATACCATGGGGAGTAGAAGAGGAAAAGGAGGAAAAGGAGGGAGAGGGAAGGGAGAGGAGAGGAGAGAAGAGGAGAAAGAGGCACTTCACATAAAATAAACGATCAGCAAATACCAAGAGAGCAGGAAGGTATTTCTACTAGTAACTGTCTGATATTCACAATAAAAGCTTCAACTACTGACATGTTAAGTGACCATATTAATTGGCTTAATAAAATTTAATCAATTGCTTGGAACTCTGGGGGGAGGAGAGAAGAAGCAGAAGCAGATGGCCACGTACCTTTTCACGCTTGGGTGCAATGGCATCAATCTCATCAATGAAGATGATGGCAGGGGCATTCTTCTCAGCCTCTTCAAAGGCCTTGCGAAGGTTGCTCTCGGACTCACCGGCTAACTTTGACATGATCTCGGGTCCGTTGATGAGGAAGAAGAATGCTCCCGTCTCATTGGCCACTGCACGGGCAATGAGGGTCTTACCAGTACCAGGAGGACCATAGAGAAGGATACCTGAAAACAAAAAATAAATATATGGTGGTATTTGAATTACAAGGACCACTTCCTCTTTCACTGTCAGCAACACTGAAACCCCCAATCCCAAAGTCCTTTCCCTCAGTCTTCACACAAATAACTGAAAATATGAATGTACCTCTTGGAGGCTTGACACCAATGGCCTTGAAGAGTGAAGGGTGGCGGAGAGGCAGCTCCACCATCTCCTTGATCTGTGCCAACTGTTTGCGGCAGCCACCAATGTCATCGTAGCCAACCTCATTCAGTTGCTCTTCCTCCTCCTGTAATAGTTTGAGGTGTTTATATTAGTTTATTATAAATTTGCTTTGTGACAGATTTATAGATTCATTCTCTTCTAATTTCTTTTATAAAATACATTAAATTATTCCCTAAAAGGAGGTGTGGGGGAAGCTTACCTCTCGCTTGACTGGCTCTCCTTCACAATAGATAACAGTGTCCTGGGAGACGATGCAATAAGGTGCAGGATCCGTCTCCACCACCTTGAACTCCACTGCCCTCATGCCACCTCGCACAAGGAAAAGGTCACCCTTGTGGATAGGCCTGTATGCTTCCAGGAAGTAGGGTTTCAAATACACCTGTGGGAATGTGAAAGGAAGTGTCGTTTACTTAGTGCTGTTATATTCGTAATTTATGCTATTTACTTATCCCTAAGGTTAAACTTTTGCATCTTGACACACCAAGACCCTAAATTTCAGCTCCACCCACCTCAAAGATGTTTCCTGTGAGACCTTCAACAGTGTCGTCAATGGGCAGGACGTGGATACGCTTGCCATACTTGACGTCTGGACATGGCTGGATGGACACGATGTCTCCCAAGCGGATGCGAAGGTTGTTTCTGACCTGCAAAGGATGGAAGTGTCTTTATTGCCTTATTTGTAAACTTTTAGAGAAAAGAATAATTTGCAAGATATTTCAAATAGAGTTAACAGATATAATGGGGAGGGGAGGGGTAGAGAGAGAGGGGGGAGGGGGGAGAGAGAGAGAGAGAGAGAGAGAGAGAGAGAGAGAGAGAGAGAGAGAGAGAGAGGGAGAGAGAGGGAGAGAGAGGGAGAGAGAGGGAGAGAGAGGGAGAGAGAGGGAGAGAGAGGGAGAGAGAGAGAGAGAGAGAGAGGGAGAGAGAGGGAGAGAGAGGGAGAGAGAGGGAGAGAGGGAGAGAGAGAGAGAGAGAGAGAGAGAGAGAGAGAGAGAGAGAGAGAGAGAGAGAGAGAGAGAGAGAGAGAGAGAGAGAGAGAGAGAGAGAGAGGGAGAGAGAGAGAGGGAGAGAGAGAGAGAGAGAGAGAGAGAGAGAGAGAGAGAGAGAGAGAGAGAGAGAGGGAGAGAGAGAGAGAGAGAGAGAGAGAGAGAGAGAGAGAGAGAGAGAGAGAGAGAGAGAGAGAGAGAGAGAGAGAGAGAGAGAGAGATACCACACAAGAAAGAGACATACCACACGGTTCATGCGAATCTTGTCGTCCTGCATGGTGTCGTCTGAGAGCACAATGCAGACAGTCTGTTTGCGCTTCTTGCCCTTGAGCAGGACTGTGTCACCACGGAAGAGCTGCAGCTCATCCATCTTGGCCTGGCTGAGTGCCACCACGGAATTGTCATCGTTGACAGCATCCTCGACAATGAGCCTGTTGGGCTTCTTCTTCTCTTTAAGAATGGCAGTAGCTAAGTCGTCCCTGCAGAGAAAAGGGAGAAGGGGAAGGCATTTGATTAGGAAAACTCTGGGTCTTGAGATCTTACACAATGTGTCTGAAACCAATTATTCTACATCAAGGAAACCTGATAAAAAAAACCCTAAAAAGATCACAATTCCAAAACTCTCCTTGAAACAGCACTAGGGAGACACTAAAAGAAATGAGAGAAATGAAAGTACGAGATGGATGTTCCATGAAGGAAATGTTGTAACTATCTCTGTAAGTCAAGCATTTTTGTTTGAATTTTGATTATCCTGAAATTCTGATATTGTATGAAATTTGCTCAAACAATATGCCCATTCTGATCATGCACATTTTAGACTGACAATGCAGAGTGTATTTTATACAAGACAAAAGATTAGGTCATAAATTAACATTCTGATTATCTCTTGGACATTACTATGAATAACTGTCAACAAAATCCCCACTAGGACTGACACTGTTCTGTGTGCCTATCCTGGATATGTCACTTGTGGTACCAAGAGCAACTCAGTCTACCACAACCATTGCATGACTTCATGACCCCCGAGTTCAAAGGGTTAACCCACAATAGCTGGGATGGCAGGAATATAGGTCTTGTCTACTGCCTCTTTATTTAATGGCTGTCTTTACATATAGATAGCACCACAAGCGTTTAATCACCAAGGAGTATAATACTAATCCTACCCAACTTATCTGTTCACCCTTTTCCTTGATTTTCAGAGATTTACTTTACTTTTGTTGCTATCATTATCTTTTGTAACAAAAATTGTCCTAATCTCAGTAACAATAGTAACATTCATATCAATGGTATTAGACCCCCCCCCCCCAAAAAAAAAAAAACTCATGGTAAAGGGAAATCAGCTAAGGACATATAGGCATGCTAAATGGCTCCTTGTTGGCTGAGCACTTGTGGAGCCATCTATGTATAAACAAACTTCACAAGTAAAATGTTAATCGACGTATGATTATCCGTCACTAATGGTTTAAATAAAGAGAAAGTATTAGATATATAAATATTTCTTTAAACTTGCATATATCAGCTCAAGCTACAATCTATTAGATGCCTAAGTTGTGTTTGAATTACTGAATTGTAAAAGCAATTTAATCACAGGAGACATTAAGCTCCATGCCTCACATGGTCAAGCCTACTAGTCTAAGTTGTGTAAGTTAAACAATTTGCTAAATTTGCAGTTGCAGTGCCTCCCAAGTTGGTTTAAAATCCTTTTCCCTTGATGGAAGCTTTTCAGGAACTACAGCCCCTCAGCCCAATGACATTGGGCTGAAAATGTCCAGCACTTTTATCTGGAACTATTGGAGCAGTCCATCCAGTCTTTGCTGTGCCAGCCTGTCCAGCCAACTGTATAGCCAAAATATCTCAAGACCACAATAGCTGTACCTGTCAGCATGGACTTAGTTATGTGTATGCCACAGGCAAGTACACAAAGAGCAGGGTAAATGTGTGTTCCCTCTGCTTATACATTTTTGCTTGGTCAGCTGACCACATGTGAAGCACAGCACATGACTCAGTTTGATGGATGGAAATCCCATCAACAGAGGGTTAAAAATCAGATTGGGAATTACATTTTGCATCTTGTTATACATTAATTAGTACTTCTTCACAATGGATGCTAATATCTGAGACTTAGTCCTCAGCTCCATGTTACAAAATTTTTCCAATAACTTGAGGTGCTGTGACTTGGTGTTGGAAGATTGATGGAGGGGGGGGGGGGGTCTTCCCCTAATACCCCACAGCAAACATTGCCTTCACCTTGCTGTGCACAGCAAGATAGAACTGAAACTTGGGAGCATTGACGGGACTTGAGCAACCATTTTTCTGTTATTTGTGGCATTACTATTAACCTAACACTGATATGTATCAGAAATCTCTCATTGCCATAAACTCTAGTAATTTCTGGCAACATCCAGCCGCTGGGAATGGGAGTTCACTACATGTGGTGGAACTTCCCGCTAAAGCGCTCTAGCTGTACCTTTCTGTCCACGCAATTTGTTATGACAGCTCAAAACGTGACCTGGCCAATAAAGGGTTAATGTCTGCAGAATATTTTTTTGAACCGAGAACTGCAACTTCAAGAATATCAACCTCACTTTTGCCCTAGCTTAATGTACCTATACTGTAAAGAGAACCCGTTAATCTAATAAGATCGTCACTGCTATATTTGATTTTAGTGTCACAAATACAAAGTTTCTCTCAATCCTAATTACTCTCTCTCTCTCTCTCTCTTTAATCTTTCATTTCTTATAAATAGAATACTTTGATGTAGTTTCACTATATGGTCAATCTGCAGTGGTTCCCTTTCTACAACTTTATTAATATTTCAATTTGAAACCATTTGATAATCTATACATAAACTACCCTTGGTAAGAAACAGCCTTTGACTGGTTCACTAAGATAAGGATTTTTAAGGACATGAAGGAAAAGAACTACACACACACTGATACATGGAATAATCTGCGGAAGCAATGAATGTCAGGAATTGACACCCTGGATCTACAATTGGCCCAAAATACAGGTTTACTGGAGTGGCCACTTTGATAGGGGTTTGTCATTTGACTTGCTTTGTCCAAATGGCACAGACTTCATGTCAGCTCTCTAGGTAATCTATAACTCATTGTAATAATAACTAAGTAACATTTTATTTGTATAAATTTGTCATTTTTTGTAATATTCAACTTCATGTAATAACACCTGTGCTGTGTGTCATGGCTGACTGGAAAACAACCCTGAACATGGAAACAGCCTACTCCCGGAGCCATTGCTCTTCCAATCATGACTCATGTATGGTACATTCTCTACTCGCATCAATGAAAATAATGCAAAATACCCTTCCTAAATCCCCAAAGAGGCTAATCACCCTAAAAAAACTTTGTGCACTCGAGGCAAGTCATTCTCATCACCCCTGCTTTCAGCCAAAATTCTCATGATGGCAAGTTCAAGTCAGCTCAGCCCTCGGCCATATTTTCTTATGACAGCATGTTGCCTGCCCTTGTAGCATTTTTTTTTTTTATGACATGACTTCAACTATGTTTAAGACAACAAATCATAACAAGTGTCATGTAGGAAATGTGTTCTTGGTAATAAGGAGGGGGTCTGGAAAAGAAGCTCCCATTGATAGGAAGGTTTTTGTTCATACAGCTGTTTGTGGATTCCCAGGACTGTCCCCAAGTTGTCGTCTCGAACAATAGGGACAGTCTCTGGAGATAGAGTTACTATATAAACTATTATGATAAGCTGTAAAACACAAAAGTATTTCTATGCACCACATGCTGGTCAATACCCCGTTTTCAGATAATGAGGTATTAAGCCTACTTTTGAGAGGTTGCATTTCATCAACAACTACCATTAAGGCTTAAATACATGACCAACTACTCAATGTACACGTCTGACTGGCAAGAGAGAGCCCATACAGCTGTCTGTGACAAGCCTCATGAATGGAGGGTCTCTGCAGTAAAGATCCCTCGCAACATGCTCATTCCAGTGCCATTTATATTGTGCTTATTATTTACATCTGTCAATTGTTACAGCAGCTGTCAATTGTTACAGCAGCATTTGGTTAATTGGCATCAGCAGGATATTCTAGTTATCTTAGACACGATTTTTCCCTTTTATTAATTTTATCGAGTTGGTTGGTTAAGTAAAGGGGTATTCTATACGGGATATATTAGTCCTAGATTTTTTGTTTTTGTTTTATAGCCATGCTATAATTATTCCTTCTTTCAATTAATATGGTAATATTAAGTGAATTTCTTGTTACTTTCCATCACAAACCATATATTTAAATGAAGGTATTGAAAATGTTTGTGAAGTGACCTTACTCCCTATTACTCCTGCCATTCCTGGGAAATCCACTAACCCCATTATAAGAAACAAAACCCTCCTTAACCCCAGACCTCATTCCGTCATCATATTTCCCTATCGTGTACCCCCACCCAATCACCATGGTATTTTTTGCCACATTTTCATTTTCTGTCTGCACAGATAAGTTTATTTCATACATAAGGGAGTATTTTGATTGTTATAGTGCTATTATATTTTGCTCTAAATGAATACCAAAGTAATATATGTTGCACAACTTTCTAATCACCTTGCGAAGGTAATATCACGGATAAATTATATCCTGGATTCAAAAAATACAATTGTTGAAGTAAAGAAGTAAGGCCATAATCTAATACTGAAATCAGCATACATGCTAGCATAATTCTATTTGGCAAATAAAGTACATTCTAACAGTACTGAACTTGACCTCCTTGGTGATTAACCATCACAAAAGAAACCTGTCCCCACTCTCCACCTCACTAAATGCATCTCGAGGGAGGTTAAACACCCTTTGCCAGTACAAAACAGGAGGCTACAGCACCGTTTTATGCTTCTCTGTTCTGTATGTTTTGTACTATTACCATTCTGTTGGCATAACTTTATGCAATCAAGTGACTCACATTCTTACAAGACTGAGCTTGGAATGGCTTCTTATTTGACAAATTGCCAGAGAGGTCTAAAGCTCCCTCTTGCCAGAATATATAAGCAGTAGGTTTATTGGCATTTGCTCAAGTACAAAGGATGCACTGATCAACAAAGTACCAATAGCAGCCGAGAAGTTATATATCCCAAAATTACCAAATTAAAAGCTGCATTACATATTACATGTTAAAAGGAACACTTTTTTTTTTTTTTTTTTCATAGCCATGCTATAATTATTCCTTCTTTCAATTAATATGGTAATATTAAGTGAATTTCTTGTTACTTTCCATCACAAAACCATATATTTAAATGAAGGTATTGAAAATGTTTGTGAAGTGACCTTACTCCCTATTACTCCTGCCATTCCTGGGAAATCCACTAACCCCATTATAAGAAACAAAACCCTCCTTAACCCCAGACCTCATTCCGTCATCATATTTCCCTATCGTGTACCCCCACCCAATCACCATGGTATTTTTTGCCACATTTTCATTTTCTGTCTGCACAGATAAGTTTATTTCATACATAAGGGAGTATTTTGATTGTTATAGTGCTATTATATTTTGCTCTAAATGAATACCAAAGTAATATATGTTGCACAACTTTCTAATCACCTTGCGAAGGTAATATCACGGATAAATTATATCCTGGATTCAAAAAATACAATTGTTGAAGTAAAGAAGTAAGGCCATAATCTAATACTGAAATCAGCATACATGCTAGCATAATTCTATTTGGCAAATAAAGTACATTCTAACAGTACTGAACTTGACCTCCTTGGTGATTAACCATCACAAAAGAAACCTGTCCCCACTCTCCACCTCACTAAATGCATCTCGAGGGAGGTTAAACACCCTTTGCCAGTACAAAACAGGAGGCTACAGCACCGTTTTATGCTTCTCTGTTCTGTATGTTTTGTACTATTACCATTCTGTTGGCATAACTTTATGCAATCAAGTGACTCACATTCTTACAAGACTGAGCTTGGAATGGCTTCTTATTTGACAAATTGCCAGAGAGGTCTAAAGCTCCCTCTTGCCAGAATATATAAGCAGTAGGTTTATTGGCATTTGCTCAAGTACAAAGGATGCACTGATCAACAAAGTACCAACAGCAGCCGAGAAGTTATATATCCCAAAATTACCAAATTAAAAGCTGCATTACATATTACATGTTAAAAGGAACACATCATTAATATTTTCTGGATAACAAAATATCTATCTAATGACTTAATAAATCACAAAAAAGCATATCAAATAAAATTGGTGCTTGCAAATGCCCTTTGTTGCACATGTTCAGTACATGTAAACAAGTCTTTGGTTGTTACAAGTGAACCTAAAAAAAAGGAAAAAAAAACAATTAAATTTAACAATTTCATCCATCCTTTAAAGAGTATTCACCCTGCACAATGAACTAATCAGAAAAGTTATCAAACTCGGAATTAACGTAGATTTAATTCCTAAAAGACGTGAAGTATGTGTTGATACGTGTACACTTCCTGAAGATCCCCCGTCTTTGTCTCTCCAAACACTTAATTCCTCTTTTTTTTCCTCCTCATTTCAGTCTCCTCGCCTCTTCTGGTCGGAGAGAGAGGAGGAAGGAGAGAGTGGAATGCAG